ACCAATGCAGATAGCAAGTGTAAAGCTGATATAAAAAACAATTTTTTTAAAAAAAAATGGCTAAAAGCAAGAGTTCATAAAAATCGTAATGTATGAAACAAATAAAAGTTGTTCAAATAGGAAAGAAATAAATGGTCTGAGTTTGCTAAACACATGAACCTTGAATTCATAAAAATCAAACCCTGTTTGAAAGTATCAACTGGGATACTTTCAAAGAAACATTTAACCAGTGCCCAGTGTAACAGGTGCTACATTAGCATTGGGCACTGATGGGAATTAATGTGTATAAGGAGATGGGTTGTTGGACAGAGTATGGCTAAATACAATTCTACATATAATAACTGAGATGAGCATTGAAAACAAGAAAATTAGGACACAACTGCCTCAATGACATGTTTACCTCTGGTCCAATGCCATAAACATCTACCTCATGACTCTTATGTTCTCCTTACCAAGTTTTAAAACTAGAAATACCCACTCTCAAGCTTTCCATAAACTCTTGAGTTCATTTCTAGGTGCTTGATAATGTCCTGGTAGTGCATGTCTGCTGTAATGTCAGGAAGAGGCTATTTGTGTGTGTGTGTGCATGCATGCGCGCACACGCACATGTGCACATGTACGCATATGTGTGAAGGGTGTTGAAAACGGGTATCATGCAACCTAAGCTGACTATAAACTCACTATGTAGTGGAATAGCTGGGTCTCCAGGTAGAACTACTTCCAATTTTCTGAGGAACAGCCAGACTGATTTCCAGAGTGGTTGTACCAGCTTGCAATCCCACCAATAATGGAGGAGTGTTCCTCTTTCTCCACATCCCCACCAGCATCTACTGTCACCTGAGTTTTTGATCTTAGCCATTCTGACTAGTATGAGGTGGAATCTCAGGGTTGTTTTGATATGCATTTCCCTGATGACTAAGGATGTTGAAGTGATTCTTAGCCATTCCAGATTCCCCAGTTGAGAAGTCTTTGTTTAGCTCTATACCCCATTTTTTTAAAAATAGGATTATTTAGTTCTCTGTAGTCTAACTTCTTTAGTTCTTTGTAAAGACCTTTTCCCAGTCTGTGGACTGCCCTTTTGTCCTACTGACAGTGTCCTTTGCCTTTTAGAAGCTTTTCAATTTTATAGGGTCCCATTTGTCAATTGTTGATCTTAGAGCATGACCCATTGGTGTTCTGTTCAAGAAAATTTCCCCTGTGCCAATGAGTTCAAGGTTCTTTCTTTCTTTCTTTTCTTTTTTTTTTTTTTTTTTTTTTTTTTTGGTTTTTCGATACAGGGTTTCTCTGTGTAGCCCTGGCTGTCCTGGAACTCACTCTGTAGACCAGGCTGGCCTCGAACTCAGAAATCCACCTGTCTCTGCCTCCCAAGTGCTGGGATTAAAGGAGTGCGCCACCACCGCCCAGCTCAAGGTTCTTTCCCACTCTCTCTTCTATTAGATTCAGCATATCTGGTTTTATGTGGAGGTTCCTGATCCACTTGGACTTGAGCTTTGTACAAGGAAACAAGAATGGATCAAAATATCTGTATGACAAGAACTTCAAGTCTCTGAAGAAAGGAATCGAAGAAAACTTCAGAAGATGGAAAGATCTCCCATGCTCGTGGGCTGGCAGGATTAACATAGGTAAAATGACCATCTTACCAAAAGTAACCTAAAGATTTAATGTAATCCCCATCAAAATTCCAACTCAATTCTTCACAGAGATAGAACAATTCTCAAATTCATCTGGAATAACAAAAAAAATCTAGGATAGAGAAAACCATTCTCGTGGAATCGCCATTCCTGACCTCAAGCTGGACTACAGACCAATAGTGATAAAAACTACATGGTATTGGTACAGAGACACGCAGGTATACCAGTGAAATAGAATTGAAGCCCCAGAAATAAACCCACACACCAATGGTCACTTAATCTTTGACAAAGAAGCCAAAACCATCCAGTGGAAAAAAGACAGCATTTTCAACAAATGGTGCTGGTTCAACTGGTGGTCGGCATGCAGAATTTTGTTTTATTATTCAGTCTTGAGAGAAACTGTATTTTTTGAAATTGACCTAATTTTTGTAGGCTAAATAATTTGTGTGTGTGTGTATGTGTTGTGTTTTCAAAGGAAAACAGGCCCACCCTGATCCATGAGGACATGTTCCAGGATCACTAATGGATGCTTAAAATCTCAAATGGTACCAAACATATATGTCTATGTTTTTCCCCTAAATAGCGATACACAAACTTATGCTATTTCCAACTTAACTAAAAATTTTATCATGTGTTATTTTTGCATCCATATCTTTAATGCCTAAAGCACAGTAGCCAAACTGAATGAAATTCGATTATCCTTTTCATAATTTTATGAAAAGAAGATTCATTCCCATTGTAAATTTTAGTAACCAGAATGCAGTCTATATAGTTGTTTTTTTTTTTCATCTTTCTTTCCTTACACATAAAATCTTTTACTTTTTCTCCTAAAGCAGTGGTTCCCAACATTCCTAATGCTGAGACCCTTTGATGCAGTTCTTCATATTGTGGTGACCTCCAACCATAAAATTATTTCGTTGTTGCTTTATAACTTTAATTTTACTACTGTTATGAATCGTAATATAAAGAAATGACAGGCATGATATCTGATATGCAACCCCTGTAAAAGGATCATTCATCAACTCCCCCCCCCAAGTCATGACCCACAGGTTGAGAACCTAACTGCCCTAAAAGACTCACTGCAGATAGTCTTTTGTTTTGATATTTCAATTTGATTTAAAATTTAGTTGAAACTCAATGCCTCCCAGAAGCTGGGGAAATGGCTCACATTCTAGCTGTTCTTGCAGAAGAACTTGGTTTGATTCTCAGCACTCACACAGCACCTCACAACCTCCTGTAATTCCTATCCCAGTGGATCAGACACCTTCTTCCGGCATCCACAGGCACTGCATGCACATGGTACATACACATGCAGACAAAACACCCATGCACTTAAAATAAAAATATAGGAAAAAAATTTAAAGCTTTCTAATTTGGTACTTCCTCAAGGATTTTATGTCTGAATAATCTATTAAGGCGTTCCCTAATACTCCTGTGCTGCATTTTTTCTCTTTGATTTTATTAAATAGTTTGCCGTATACATTTAGGTATTCCAATAAGAGTGTGCGTGTGTGTGTATAATATATATAATGTAAAAATGTTGTATCAGAAACCATCTAGGAAAGGCTATGGCAGGCAAGTTAGTTTCCTGGAGATGGCCTACTATTTTGCATGACTACGATGGATGAGCTCTGGAGAGGCATGGCCCTACAGACTTCGCCCAGGAATGATTCTCATGGCTGACATGCTTTTCCTGCCATTATTATACAGCATAAGAATTCCTGGGCATCAGCCCACCCTACTGGGCAAATTTTCTGCAGATCAATATGAAGATGAACTTGTATAAATTAATGTTGTTTAGATGAATTAATGACCTTATAGAGTTCCTAATGTGATTCAAATAATTTTAGGAAGAAAGTTTAAGGAAATGGTTTTAGTTGTTTTGCCAGAAAGATGAAGTAGTTAGACTCAAAAATAAGATGTGCCTCTTCCACACAGAATAGTAAGTAAAGGCTGCATTATAAGAAAAAAAATGAGCTTTCATAAATTATACTAAAAAGAGACATAGTCTTGGGAAAATTTATGATCAAGGAGAAACATTTATTCTAGGTCAGGTCCAAGGATAAAACCACAGGTGTGTACTATGATAAAACAAAGCCATGTTAAACTGTTGCTCTGAACTTATAATGAACTTATAGAATGAAACAATGCTTTCAACTTACTATTGACATCCTTCTGTAATTTCCCTTTTGTGTAAGATTTTACCTACGAGGTACTTTTATAAAGAAATTTTGTCTGAGTAGGTATAAGAGAAATTTTGTCTAAGAAGGTATAAGAGGCCATAGAGAAGAAATAAAGTGTGGCATTTTGGGCTCAGCCCTATCCAACAAATATGTGTTTGTGTGTATGTGTGTGTGTGTGTGTGTGTGTGTGTATCTGACTGAATGTACATATGTATGTGTGTAGGTATATGTGTATGTATATAAGTACGCATATGGACATGTGAAAATGATGGAACAGGTGGTTGGGTCCAGCCAAAGTGTGTGTAAGTGTGTGTGTGTGTATGTGTGTGTGTGTGTGCGCGCATGCATGCACTTTTTTCTTTCTCTGTGAAATTGCCAAAAGTCATCAGCCAGTAGCCAACAGCTTCTGACCCCCAGAACAGTAATAAAGAGTTATAAGGCCGGAGGTCATCCGCCTTTGGCCTATGTCAGACACTATGTCTCTCCTTAGTACCTAACCCTGACAGATATGGCCCCTGGAAGCGTTGTATGCTTTTATTATATGCTTCACAGTATATAAAAGGAGGTTACTAACACAATAAATCTTAATACTCATGCTTTCTTTCCCAGCCTCTTAAGACTAACATCAAAGTTAAGCAAGGAAATATCTATAACTATGGAACAGAATTAAGACAATGCCTTTTAATATCTTATGGCCCATATACACAGACAGCTTCAAAGTAAAACAAACAAAAAACATACCCCATCTTTTCTGCTTCTTGGTATTATTCTTTAGAGTCTGTGTGTACTGCTCTCAATGAATAAGTGATCTGTCAGCTTTGATTTTGAGTACATTGCTACAAGTATAAAATTGTCTACTTATAAGTTATAGAACCTTGAGGCTCAATTCCAATAAAGGCACTCAATGATGTAGGTTAAAAAAATCCCTTTGTTAAACTGACAATTCTATGTAAAAATCATCTAAAAAACAACCTGTCTGAAATCTGTACGATGAAATGCAAAACTAACATAACAAGAAACATACTAGTAATAATCTTGCATGGAAAGTTTCTGCCTTCAAAATTTGAATGTGACATTATTCACGCTACATTAACGTTACCAATTCATTGCTGTGAAAACAGGAAGTGGGCAGATGAGTGGAGGATATGTGCTTTCAGTTCAATGAAAAGGTGGAAAATAGGCTTACCTCTTCTGATTGCTCACGAGTCTGTACGGGTGAAGTTCTTCTTCCCACAGTTAGTCGATGACAGGGATAAGAGAGTCCTGATTCAGCAAGACACATCTGCAAAAAGTAAAGTGCATCATTTTAAACAAAATATAGTTTCCATCAAAAAAGGATTTTGGATTTCTATTTTTTTCTATAATTTTAAGCTATGTTAGAAAGCTATTAGCCTGGGTATAACATTACAAAGAAGGCTTTGACATTCTCAAACTTTTCACCAAGTAAAATATTCTGGTAAACCAGGATGATGGCACATGCCTTTAATCTCAGCACTTGAGAGGCAGAGGCAGGTGGATCTCAGCCTGGACTACATACTGAGTTCCAAGTCGGCTGGGACTGCACAGATAATGAGACACTGCCCCTCCCCCCAAAAGAACATTGTAATCAAGACTAATTTTCAGTAGAAAACAGATGAGAGGAAACAGAAATCATATACTAGGCCAAATTATACATACTTGCCCTCAGTGCAGGTCTGTTAATGGGCTCATTCATAGAATAGAATCCCCGTTTCCTAGCAGGAACATATGGAAGCGTATGTGCCAAAGCCCCTGGTGTTTTTATTTTACCACACAGTTACAATGTTATTTATACATTAGTACTAGCACACAACGTTAAGGATTATAAAGGCTTACAAACCTAAAGTGCATGTAAAGAACTTACTTGGTTTACATTCTAAACACTATCCAAAGAATCTGTACTGCTCCATAATAACAACTAAGTAACATATATTTATGTCTATTAAAATTTATAGTATATCTGATAGCAACTAAAATTAACTTTGAGGTTTAAATTTAAATCGGGCAAATGTAAAAAAATCTGACTGGACTTTAGGTTTCGTAAGTATCAATTACCTTAAAGAAATAGTCAGATTCTAAGAAAATGAACCTAAAATTTTATCTATTTCAGAATTAGTGAATCCGCTCAAGAAAACACAAAGTAAAAAAGCAATGTGAAAGAATTATCATTAACAAAACAATTTTATATGCCAACAGTTCATGATGATTGTCAGTTACATATTTTAGTATTGTAGTGCATGCTACATATCATTTATTCTGTAATGACATTTTATTTTCATGCTATTTTGGTTAACTTCTGTCTACAGTTTATTTGTATTTCATATCATGTAACTATGTAGGAGAATTAAAACAGTATTAAGGCGAGCTGCAGAGATGCCTCAGTGGATAAGAACATTGTTCTTCCGAGGACCTGGGTTTGGTTCTCAACACCCAGCACATTCTGACATTCATTGTAACTCTGTAACTCTACTCCTGATGGAGCCATTGCCCTTCTCAGGGTTCTGTGTGTTATATATACACATGATACACTTACTTGCAGGAAAAACACTCATACTGTGAGTGTTTTCATTTTATGTAAAATGAAAATATATAATTCTTAAAAACCAAACAAAACAATGTTAAAGACTGGAGGTGGAGCTTAGTGGAGGAGCACACACTCTGCATGCTCAATTGATTTCTAGCACTCAAGACAACAACACAGTTAAACAGCCTTAAGAAGGTATATGTGCCTATGGCAAATTGGAATGTATACATGTACTTAATATAATGATGATATAAATCAATGTTACTTTTATTAGAAATAAAATATGGCAGTGTTGACATAGAAAAATTATTCTTTGGTAACTTTGCAAAGATGTAAATTAGTGTGACTTAAAGTGAAGAAATCCAAATATCTACAAATCAATATATTCATAGGCAGCAGACAATAGTGGATGAGGCAAACTAGAATTCAAACATGCTTACTTAGATTAATTATTTCAATACAAATATTGCTGTGGAAAATAGAGACTTCACATAAATACCCAAGTATGCTGACATACACAGACCATACTGATAAAAGTCATGTGTTTAGACAGGTGTGGTGATACATGCCTTTAGTCCCAGTATTTGGGAGGCAGAGGCAGGTATACCTCTGAGTTTGAGGACAGTTTGGATTTTCCACTATCACAAAGAGAAGGCTTAAATAGGTTCCCAAAAAAAGGACCAACTTAAAGGGCTTAGAGATCCAGCTTAGTTAGTTGGTAGAGTATTTACCTAATATGAATGAGGCCTGGGGTGGCATCCCCACCACCACATAGACATAAGGTGTACCTATAATGCCAGACCTGGAAGGTGGAGGTAGGAGGACCATTAGTGTGAGGTTGCCCTTGTCTAAACATTTAATTTATGTAATGATAATGTGAGTCAAAGTTTCTTTTATTATTAGAAATAAAATATGGTATCCTTGGTACTTTAAAAAAATCTTTGTTAACTTTGGGGATGAATTCGTCTGACTTAAAGTGAAGAAATTCAAATCTACAAATTAATAATTCATAGGCAGCAGGTCATAAAACTCAAAAAACAAAAACCAAAATCAACTTAACTCAAAGATTCTATTATTTCATAATTCAATTCTATACTGCTTAATAAATGCTGCATAAACAAATGATGGAGTAATTTTCTGATTAGATATAAGATATAGTGCCTGTCTTAAGGGTACATATATCCCAACTGAGAAGACAGATACACAAAGGAACATGCACAGACTCTTCTAGAGGTGAGAAAGTTAGAAGGAGTATAATTTCATGCCTATATCACACTGTCTAATCAAGCTTTTAAAAATATAAATAAATAAAAAAATAAATAAAATAAATAAATAAATAAAAAGAAGGAATGCTCATTCCACAGTATAATCCCCAACATTAAATCCTAGAGTCATGACTCTATACACCAGTGTTTAAGTTGGGGTAACACACTTAGATAAATAACGGGAAAACAGCTTCTTCTCTGTGCTTTCATAGTTCTGAATTTTGTACTTGTCTTTTAGTACTTCTAAGATACAAAATAAATACATCTGTTTTTGTGTGTATCTAATTTCCTTTGGGCTGATCTGAAAGTGGAAATTTAAGGGTTCTTTGGAAAGTCAGTTGTGTTGGATGTGTTTGGATGCTGGGGCAGACACGTGAAGGAGTGTTTCCTGAAGTAGGCACAGGTGAATGGCTAAGCCAGATTCAAGAAGGAATGTTTTGCTGAAGCAGACACAGGAGAAAGGATGTTCTGCTAAAGCAAGCCCATGGAAGGACATGTGATGAAGAATTATTTGCTAAGAACACACATTACATTGTGTCGTTGACCTGCATTTTGTTCAAACTCCATAGAGTGAAACACACCAAAAAATGTCTGGTGGTGTGCTGCAGTTTCTTGCTACTTCCTCAGACTTAGGCTGATTGGCAGAATAATGTCAGCTGAGATAGACTGACATGCTGAGGCAAGATGTGTTCTGAGGCAAGACCCATGGAGGACATGTGATATTTGGAGGGATATAAATAGGACTCGTTGGACAGTGACAGCGATGGAGGCTAAGGTAGGCTTGCTTACAGAGCTAGCTGTACAACTCTTGTTGGTCTCATATCTTCACTGATCTTCAATTCGCTGAGAGAGGCATAACCAAGAACTTTTTCTGGTGTCCCTCCCTGGTCCCTCCTGCTGACCTGTGCCAAGCCTGAGGTCTGGTGCTTCTGCTAGGTTGTGACACCCTGCTGATGTGTGTTTGCTATCCTGACTCTACCAAACAGGATTGTTGATGTATCTATGAAGTGTTTGCAAGTGGATCGAGCTGCTTATGCTAACTTGTAAACTGAACTGCTAATATCCAGACAGGAGTTGCTCCAAAGAACCTTTCTAAACAGGTGCACTTCCCCTGTATCCTTTCTTTTCCACTATCTCTGGTAGGTGGTGAGCAACAAGGGAGGTTAAGCATTTAAGAACCATCATTAAAAGTAGGCTGTCTTAGTTAGGGTTTTACTGCTGTGAACAGCCACCATGACTAATGCGAGTCTTATAAAGGACGACATTTAACTGAGGCTGGCTTACAGGTTCAGAGGTTCCTTCTACTATCATCAAGACAGGTCATGGCAGTGTCCAGGCAGCATGGTGCAGGCAGAGCTAAGAGTTCCATATCTTCATCTTTTGGCTGCTAGCAGAATACTGGCTTCCAGGGAGCTAGGATGAGGATCTTAAAGCCCACACACAGAGTGATAAACCTACTCCAACAAAGTCATACCTACTCCAAAAGAGCCACACCTTCTAATAGTGTTACTCCCTGGGCAATGCATAGACAAACTATCACATAGATATTTGAAAAGAATTGTTACATGGATCTTTTGCTCCTAAAGTGTCTTCTGATCCATTTTTGCTAAACAGACAAAACAACTGGTATTTAGAATCTAGTAATTCAGAGACTGTGATATATATTTATCCTATGTTCTAAGTTTTCCTGGACAAAGATATTACACATAGAACTGTTAAGACTGCCAGGCGGTGGTGACGCATGCCTTTAATCCCAGCACTTGGGAGGCAGAGGCAGGCGGATTTCTGAGTTCGAGGCCAGCCTGGTCTACAGAGTGAGTTCCAGGACAGCCAGGACTATACAGAGAAACCTTGTCTCGAAAAAACAAAACAAAACAACAACAACAAAAAAAGGACTGTTAAGATTATCCCTTAGTTTTATGAGAGGTTAGTCATAAGTAGGAATTATTTATTTCTACTTTCTCATTAATTTGCATGCATCAATTTATCACAGGGAAAAAAAGTACCTAAGTAAAACTGAGAACACAGCTCTAAAACCCAGGAGATACTAAAATGCTTCAAAAACAAAACTTTTACAGTAAGTACTATAATGCTGTCTTTTAAAGGGTATTTTATATACAGTTTCACATACAAAAAAATGCTGTAATTTATATTCTTTAGCCCAGTTGAACTTTCATACTTAAATACATTATTGGGGTTAATAATTTGTAAGATGATAATCCCTGGGAAGAAAAAATATTGGATAGAGCCTTTATTTGATGACTCCTCAGTGGATACCATCAAATTGAATCTGAAATTATACTAAAAATGGACATAGCTATATAACAAATGAGAAAAAGATTATATTGGCAACTCAAATGACAAAGTCCACGTAAGCTTTGTATTTTAAGAACTGCACAAGCAAAGTCAGTCTGCTTAGCACTTCTCCTAATTTTATCACTAAGAAAATTGTTAGAGAATGCTTACAGTGAATAA